GACATCTTTGTGTGATCGGAGACTCAGACACAATAAGCAAGTACGTACCCTCTTCATTCCCAATTCATGTCCCCAGCATCACTGGCCTTCCTTGTTGGTCGTATAGCCGATACCTCATCGTCATCGCGGAGTCGCGGACATCGGTCATACCCGAGAACGTGGGCGTCGGGATGTGGTCTTTGCGAACAAGCAAATCTGAAACCCGCGTAACTCGAAACTGCCGTGACACGCCCCCTTGCTTTGTCACACGGGAACCCTTCGTCACCCACACCGAGACCAGACCCTCGGCACCCTGCTATACGGCGGAGGATTCTATACGCTCATCACACGACAGCGCCATGCATTGTTGCTGACTTGATTGATTCACAGGGGCTCCAAGTTTCTAAAAGCCTGGATGCAGCATCTAGAAGACCACGCCGATCTCAGGTATCCGAACTTGGCGGACGTCTACGTGGACCAAGAAAACGGCGGATGAGGGGTGTAAGCAAGCGAGGCTGTAACACATGCGCTGTCACGGGCTCCCAAACAAACAATGTCGGAGTTGTGGTTCGCTACTACATGTTGGAGTGGTGTGGGGAGGACATGGTCTCAGCGCTATGGTTTGGTTCGCAAGCGAAGCGCGATACTGCAGCCATGGTATGCGGCGTGATTTTAGCTGCAGTAGTCCCGCGTCAAAGTCGCGAGTCGAGACAGCTCGCGCCAAAACACCTACATACGCCGAATGTCATCGCCAAAGTGGCATGCGGCATGAGACTACGGTGGTAAGACGGCGAAGCAGGGCTTGCATGCGATTACATATATGCGTAAAAGAGAAACGAGAAGGACCAGAAGAGCGCGCACGCAGAGTAGACAGCGAGTAATGCGCTCATTCTCTCAAACTCTTTATGCTGAACGGTGTCGTGCAGGATAAAGTGTGTGTGGTGGCGAGTCGTGACCATCAATACATGGCGCAATACTATCGAGCAATCAGCGCAGGCCGGAAACTTCATCAAAACGGCGCCCAGCGCTTGCGACGTCGCTTCTGTCAACGTCTTTCGAGACCCTTCGGCTACTGTCGACCAGCCTCCCCTATTAATCATGTTTACATCAACGTACATCGTCAACAGGTAACGCGTGCAGTAGAGTACCAAACAGTCGTGATAGACGGTGTGGTGTGGGCCAGAGTAATCAGCTCCAATCAGGCCGTCGTCGGAGTTAGTCCGCGGACAGCCTCAAACGCGTTAATGCAGGCTGGAGCAAGGATTCCTGTTAGTCTGCACGGCCGAGGGTCCATGACATGACATGCGTCCTGGCGACCCCATGTCTTCTCGCGCTCAGACCTGACGCGACAAGAGGAGGGTTCGTGGAACGCCTCGGTCAGTGCTGCAAGCCGCTATTTGTAGACGCAGAAGGATTAGCTCTGCGACGGCTTTACTGGGATTTGAGATGGCGGTTCTGGACGAGTGGTAAGTTTGAGAGGCCGACAGGGAAGCTGAGGTCCAAGACGTGTTAGCCGCATGTTTCAGAAGGGCTGAAGAGGACAGTGGCCGAGCGCGCCTGCGCGTGCCGTGCTGCAGCCAACGAACGTATCGATTGCAACAGTCCGCTTTGGCGAAAACATGCAGCTGTACTGGACGCAAAACCCCACAGCCCCATCGCCAACAACCTGCACGTCGTTCGTTCGCGCAGTGGTCCGACTTGTTGGCCTCTCATGCAACGCTTGTGCAGCAGCGATCAGGCCTTTGTTTGTTGCTGCAGCCCCCCCAGCCCCCGTTGTGTTGTGGTCAAAGGTAATGCCGGTCATACTGCTTGATTCGCAAATGCGCCATCAATAATAGCCTCCTCCTTCCCGCCGCGCCCCCCATCCGACTGACCCTCCCCACTCTATTGGCACCCTTGTCCAAAGGGTACATGACGCTCTCGGTCTGATACATAGACCCTAAGAACGCCGCCCCCCGTTCTTTTGCTGCTCTTCTCGTTACGTCGTCTGTGGCACGTCTCTCTATTGTTTAACCTCGTCGCTCTTTCTGATCGAGTTCGCTTCTTTCGAGTCTTGGGGGCTATCGTTGTTAATTCCTTATTGCCTATTCTTGCCTTGCATCTATTTTCGGAGGAGGGACGTTTGCCGCGCTTGTCGCTCCGGTCCGCCTTTGCTTTGCTTCTTATCCATCAACTGCTTTCGCAACATCGGTGATGGTAGTCGAGATCCTCACGCTCGCTGGGTCATCCCGGTAAACCTCGCCTAAGCGCAATTTCCAGAACTCGTCCGCAGAAGCGCATTCGCCAACACTCGGAATCCAAAACATCGCAGCATCCATATGCTTCAAAGAGAAGGCTTTGTCGTCGCCGATATGAGTGCGTCGACGCCCTCGCCCTCGCCTCTTGAGCGCTCCAGCTGGAAGGCTGAGGCTATCAGAAGAGGGAACTTAAAAATTAGCGGGCCGATCCCTATTACCGAGGATGTGCCGTTGAATGAAGAGGAAGAGAAGGAGTACGCGGAAAATGGCGCGCTGGACCGCACACTGCAGCCGCAGGACGCGCCAGAAGAGCAGTATGAAAGGCCGCAAACCCCGCCAAGACCACTTCAATCTCCTCCGCCTGTGCCTGAACAGCATATGTCAGCCTTGCGATCAAATCCTGTGGGAGAGCAGCAGCCGCAGCGCGATTCGGCTGCTCCCGAGCGCCCGATTTCTTCGAGATCCCCGCCAAGAGTGCGACACTTGGACGAAGTACAGCGCGAAAGCATTGTGCCATCGACTTCGATCGCTTCCCCGTCGCCGTTTCGCTCCACGCCAGAGAGCGCCGGTAAAGCTGCGCAGAAGAAGAATAAGCGCAAGAGCGGCCTCAGAAATGTATTCCGGAAAATGTTCGGGCGAAAAGGCCCGGACCGAGCGGATGATCTGGAAGAAGAGCCAATGCAGCGTGGCCACAGCTACCACCATAGTGTAAGTTTGTCTAGACCAGCGTGACGAATGAAGTCTGACGAAGAATAGGACACTACCATGCTGAGATCAACACCACCAAGAGAACCAAGGACACCCCCGACCAATCCTCGGATATCTGATCTGCCAGTGGAGGAGCTACAGCCATTACATCCGCTAGGCCAACATCTCCCGTACCCCATGAACGTGAATGCGCCGCCGGCAAGTCCGCCGAAAGAGTACCTTACATTCGATACGGACAGGCCGGATCTCGGTCGCCGAAGAGCCACGCTGCCCACTGTACCAAGTGCCATTACTCATCGACACAGTTTCGACGAGCCTCGGGAAAAGCTGGCAGCGTGGGACGAACAGGCTGAAGAAGATGAGATGTCTCCCGGTATCGGTATCGCACTGTCCAGTCCGACTCAAACAGTAACGTCCAAACACGACAGACGGAGATCAAGAAGTGCAGATGCTCTTCACAATCTCGCAAAAGAGCGCGCCTCGACGGAGAGAGGCAGGAGTGCGGAGATCAAGTTCTGGAGGGAGAGCTACATGTCCGGCAGCATCTATAGTAGACCGCAAACAGCGAAGACTGTAGAGACGGTGCGCACCGTGCCGATGCAAGAGCCCATGATCCGAGAACCAGACAACGAGTCGTTCAACGAGATGAGCGCAACGCTCGTCCAAGCGGACGAATCGCAGACCGCGACGCCGATAACGGAAGAGCCGAACCGAGAGCAAGAACGTAGTGTTCAGCCCCCAGTCTCAGCCTTCAACTTCGGTGACCTGAAGAATGCATTGTTCGGACCCAAAGAGGAGACCATTCCAGAGTCGCCGCAAGTCCGAAGCATTTCGCCGCCGCCTCCGCCACCAGCGAAGAGCCAACATCGCATACCCATTGAGGATCGCGTTCAAGATCTTGAATCCAGGTACTCCAATCTCGAAACACTCACCCGCCGGATGTCATCCCGTAACAACCGGCAAACCATCATCCTCGAAAACGCACCTCGCAACCTGCGATCAAGGAACCGGAGTTCGTCTGCATCTGCATCGCGCTCTCACTCAAGATCAGCACCGAGCATTCATCAAGAGCTCATCGTCCAATCAAGTAGTGAGACCCTTGAGCCTGAGCCTGCGCCTGGTTCTCCAACGCTTGCCGCACCTCCAGTTCCTCACACTGGAAGTAACGAGGAGACTGCGCGAGCGCTGCGGAACGTCTATGAGGCGCTCAGACATGAGAGGAGCGCGAGGAAGGCATTGGAACAGCAGGTCCGCACTCTCCAGCACGATGTCTCGGACTTGCATGCGTTGGTGAACAAACTCATCGTTTCGGCGACTGCCACATCGCCATCGTACCCTACCCCTTCGCCCGACACCTTGATCATCTCGCGTGAAGGCGATCAGCGGATAAGCTGCTCTACGCCGCGAGCTCCAGCGCACGACCGGAACGTCGTCTACGGCCAGCAGAGCCACGACAGGAACCAGCGCTGGGCCAACGACGACGCGAGCGTCTACTCTGAGGACCTGGCCCGTAAGCCGAGCTACGACGATGTCTCGCCAGAAGTATGGGCCACGCCGAAGGAAGAAGGATTCGATGGAAGTGGGTTTTTCCATGGCCATGACCGGGTAGGAGCGTATGCTTGAGGGCTTTTAGGTCGCTTGATGCGGTCTTGAGACGTGGAATGATTGGTAAGATTTTCTTCCCTTCTGGATACGGCCGGGCATGGCATGACCTTTTGGATGTTTGTAAGATACCCAGCGTGTGCGTTGTTATGGCGCGCGCTTCTGTCGTTGAGCGATTTATTATTTCTTGTGTCTATTGTTTGGTTAGCGAGCGAGCGTATTGAAATGCATCCATTGTTGATCCGTTGAGTGTTCCTTCTCTTTGTGGGGGATACGGTGGTTCTGGAGCTGGTGATGATGCAGCTGGGGAGATAACCTTGGCAGTACTTTCGGAAGGCGCGACCTCCTCTCACCTCACAGAACACGAATCCACTTCAGAGAAACTTACAGAACACATCTCGCCTGGCGCGGAGACGACCCTTCCTTCCAACACCAACCCACATACGACGACTGAGCGAGAGGGAATTTACTACGATGCAGAGAGGATTCGAGGACGAGGTCGCCCTGTAAGCACAGCATGGAGTAGCATGAACCAACAAACTAACAACCAGCAGCGCAAACGAACCCATGATCACTGTGAAAGTTGATTATGACTGCAAGACTGTGTTCATGGTCCCTGAAGATAGCATACGCGCCTCATCCGAGTTTGTCGATGCAGCGATGAGAGGACCATGGCAGGAATCGCAGCAGCGATCCATCTCACTACCCGAATTTGGCAAGCAAACCTTCGGCGTCTACTTTCACTGGCTTCTTACAGGTGTCGTTCACAGTAGACAACGTTGCGATTACCAACTATCGGCCTTGTTTAACGAGCTCTTGAGGTTACCTGCATTGTTTGACCTAGGTCATTACCTACTCGACACCAACTTTAGAGATGCTGTAAGCGACAGTCTGATGCAATGCGCAAGCGAAATAAAGCGCAACCCATTCCCGTTTCCACTAGACTACGCCTCGGATTTCTACAAGAACGTACCCTCTGGATCGCCCACTAGAAAGCTAGTTGCAGACCTCATTGCATGGACAATGGACGAACACGAACTTCACGTTTTGGCGACAGGAAAGGTCACTATGGAACCGGACCTATTACTGGATATCCTCCTAGCCGTTGGTGGAAGATACATCACTCGACCACCCAGCAATTCGCCATTTGATGGCTGGAAGACGAGCTGCAAGTACCACTGTCACGGCGATGAGAAGCCTTGCTACCGAAAGAAATCTGGAACGTACGTAGTATCCTTTGCTCACGCCGTGATCACAGTTGAATGGGTCTAGGTCTCGCACTACCACAACGAAACGCCCAGCTCCCAACGACACACAGTCACCAGACGCAAAGCGACGAGCTTGAGGATGGAATGACCATGGCATGGAAGACTCTTCGGTTATTCCGCAGTCTAGTATGACTACAACGGTGTCGTGGCTGTCAAGCGGTGTTCGGGTGAAACGGAGGGTGATGAAGACCACGTGGTATCAATGTGGACTACCCGTCATCATCGATGGCGAAATTATGATTTACTAAAACAGTTACAAGGCGCGTACAAAATGTATTGTTCAACATGAAAAATATTTAAAGTTGTGAATAGTGAGGTGAAGGTGAGGCAGTCGTAGGGCGCTCTTGCCTAATTCGTGAGAAATAATCCAAGGTACCGCACCACCCCCACTCAGACAATCTCTCTGGAACCCCAGCTCCGATCCTTCTACCTCTACTGACAACGCGGTTAAGCTGCATCGCTGCAACACAACGCCGACCGCAGCGGCGCCAGTAACAGCAGTAGCATTACTCAACCTCCAGCCAAAGGTCGCCATAATGCCGCTCTACTCGCAGTCCAAAATGCCTAGGTAAGTCAACATCAAACCCAGATGATCCAGCAGCTAACAAAAGTAGCATGGGAACCAAGGTCATCACGGTGCGCGTTGGGCGTGAACCCAACCACACCGATTTCACCGTCCACGAAGATCCCATCCGAGCATCATCCGCATTCTTCCAGACCGCCTTTCGTCACCCGTGGCGCGAGTCACTGGAACGCGTCGTTCGACTTCCAGGGTGCGACGCGATAGATTTCCAGATCTATACCCATTGGCTCTACTCCGGTCTTCTTTGTGCCATACCTTCGGGAGCTAGCAATTCCAACGGCGTAAGCTCGAGTCTCGTGCGTGGCTATCTCCTCGGCGATTACCTTCAAGATGCGAGCTATAGAGATACCATTATTGATGGCTTGATCGAGTGGGATCGCCATGCAGATGACGCACCACGCACAAGTTTCCTGTCATCCTGGATCAACATTGTCGATGACGGTACTAGCGAAGGGAACCCGCTTCAAAAGCTCTTGGTAGACATCACTGTCTGGAGAACCAGTCATGTCTGGTGGACTTCCGTTATCGCAAAGCTACCTGCCAATTTCGTTCGCGATGTCTGCATTGGTCTCTCTACGCGGTACAGAGTCGATGGCGCCGTCTTCCCCGTGCGGATTCAAGCGAACAATTGCGCATATCATTCTCACGGAGACAAACCTTGCGGCATTACCGGACAAACAAAGTAAAGCGGCATCATGAGATGTGCAGAATGGGGCTGACGCCACAATAGGACTTCGGATACCATTAGCTCTTCTCCATCAAAGTCTTCCGGCTCACCTGTCCAAGAATCTCAAGAACAATTTTCCAATTGGGCACGTATGAGAGCCAGTAGTCGGGGAAGGGGTTCTCCTTCTGGACGCGGAGTTGGACGAGGCGGTCGTGGCGGACGTGGACGTGGCGGATAGGATCGTGCGAGCTGCTTAGACACTATGCGGGTTTCGACCGATTCAACTCTGTCCATCTCAAATGCGCATGCATGCAGACAAGTGTTGACGAATGGGTCAGTAGACTCATCGCTAAACCGCCCTCTTTAATGAGGCACAATAACATCTGGTGCTGTTTTTCATGTGTATATAAGATCAGACTATCGTCACATACAGACCAATACATCGTGAACTCATTTAAAGGATGATCATTAATCATTACTACTGTATACTCGCTAGTACGCTTCAAAACAAATCTCTTCCGCAAACAACACCTAATCATACACACTCACACCCACTGTCCCCTTAGTTGACATGGGGAATATAAGTAGGACCCCTACCCGCCTCAAACGCAGGACCAGCAGGACCATCAACATAAGCGGTATCGTGGTCAGCAACATAAGTGGCAGGAGGATTGGCAATGTAAGTGCTATCCCTCATGCTCTCGCTGTACCTAGCCTCCTTGACAACCTCAGCCCTCTGGTTATCCTTGCGGCCAAAGCTCCAGGCGCCAAGCAGAACAAGAGCGAAGATACCGAGGTCGCATAGCTCACCGAAGATGATGAAGAGAAAAGCGAGGGCCTGGTTGGTGGTGCGCGAGTAGTTGTTTGTGTTGCGGTAGATGAGGACGAGCTGGGCGATGGAGAAGGCGTTGCGGACCCAGACGATGGGGGTGACGAGCATGACGAAGCGGGTAAGAGCTGACTTGGAGCGGTTCTAGATGTCGTTAGTACATGCTTTTGCACAGAAGGAGGGGGGTAAACTTACACCGACAACACCGTTCTTCTTGATACCGATCCAGCAAAGAATCGCCTCAAGAGTCGCACTAGTCGACGCGGCGATGACAGTGGCTACGTAAACAACATATAGTGTCCTCACCATGTAGTCAACAGCAATCAAACTAGGATACGCCAACGCAGAGTTTCCACTACCACGGCGAGCAAGACCAACAGCCCAGCTAGCAAATCCAAGAGCAAGGATAGCCAACATCCAGAAGCCGTTCAGAGCCCAAGACAGGACACCAGGCTCCTTGATACCAGTGCCGTTGTTCTGAACGTGGTTGGCATGGATCCAGATGGCGCCGACGATGCAAGCGTTCATGATGATCATGGCGCCTTGGTAGGTGAAGGAGAGGATGGAGATGATCTTTCCATACTTGATGGAGTCGTTGTTGCCGAAGGGTTCGGTGTATTGGGGGTAGGCATAGGCGGAGGTGATGTAGAAGGGGGAGGGGAGGCGGGATTGGAGGGCCACGATGGAGGATTGCGCGGCGTAGGCGATCATCAGAGTGGTGAGACCGGTGATGAGGAAGAGCTGCGTGCCTGTGGAGCTGTTGTGTGTTAGTTGACTTGGCATTGAATAGAAGGGGCATGGATTTGTGTACCTGTGCCTGTTCAGAGTTGACCTGTTAAACTTCTTGAATGTGCGGGGACGTCCAGGGCCGCCGACGAGTTGGCGACCGAACAACGCAAGAGCAGCCAGAATAAGGATGATCGAGCCGCCTGCTGTAACGACATGGAGGGCGAAAATTGCCTGGACGGTGGAGGTGGTGTTGGTGATGGCCATTATGCGTGCTCGGTGGATGTGCAGGACAGCACCCTTGTGAATTAAGTGATGAAATTGATTACTATACTGATGATACTGTACCAACATGCAAACTTGAGGGCCTTTATCATATCATCCAAACCTATGCGGTCATACCTCACGAGCCCAGACCATGACGATGCCTTGCGATGAACTGCTGTCAAACTTTACCAACGTTGACGCGCATCGAGACCAACAGCTCTCTGGCCTGGAATTAGCCATGTGACTAACTGTGGCCTCCGCGAAGATCGAGCAATGAACGGGTTCGGTGCGAGTCGCGACGTTGAAATGAGCTTGGGTGAATGACGTTTAGCGGCGCGCGGAGAGTAACGGAATGACGTCGCGCGTCGCTAGCAGAAGCAACATGGCCGTCGCAGCCGGTTGCTTTTTCGTTTTGCGTGAACGGTTATTTGAGATATTTGGCTTGGACCGCCGAAGATCGTCGCAGTCACGGTAGTGCCATCGTGGAGGTGTGAGCGCGGGAGATGTGTTCGCTGGCGTGGTGATCTGCCCAGGGGTATTCTTGTTTGTGGGCTCGACGGTGACGCGCTAGCTGTCGGGAACGTGATGTGCCATTGCCAAGTGGGCTCTGCAGCAGGATTTTTCGAGACTTTCAAGAACACGACGATGATAATGAAAGTGGTCGCGCATCGAACGCACGAGGATCGAGCCGAGGTCAGAAAGGAAGTCAATCAGGAAGGATCACGGACTGGATGATGGCTCTTCACATCGCAGTCCATCAATCGCTTTTCCCAACCCCCACAACCCTCCCACTGCCTCGGAGTCCCAGCTCTTCAGGCGTCATGAACCTCCGCACGGCCTCAATATCGTTTCCGCCCCAAGCACCCTTCCCATTGCTGCGCTTTCCGTGCTGTGCTGTTTCATACTCGTCTTTGTGCCATCCACACCCAAATATGCAAAACATGCACACGACAACGAACAGTGCCATGACTGCGAGGATAAAGATGAACAGGGACCAGATACCCGAACTAAGCCACGTTACGAAGGATGCAGAAGCCGAGTTGACAACATGAGTCGCTGTACCCTTCTTGCCATTGTCGTCCCAATCATGGAACCACATTGCCGTTTTTTGTATGCGCTTGCCGTTTATGCTGGACTGTGAGCGCGGGATGAGTGCAGCGCGGATAATCTCGTAAGCGCTTGCTGGGTCACCGGCGGACAGCAGGGGGCGCTGCAGAAGGACAAGTTCCAGGATCTTCTGCTCTTTCCTGTCCATAACGATTGTGAGATCCGGAGAAGTCAGATCAGTCCACAATTGCATGATATCGAAATGCAACACCAACGCATTGGAGTCTTTGACGTGGCGCAGGGAGTAGGCGTATGAAGCGCCAAAGTAAGCGCCCCCAAGGTTGTCGAGTTGATCAGATGCGACAAGCTTATCGAGCTCATCTTTCGATGTGTCTAACAAGACTTGGTTAACGTACACTTTTGGTAGAATCTTGGAGTCTCCTAGAAGTGGGGCATTGTTGATGCTCAGATGCGCTGAGTCGTAGGGAAGGGAGATGTTCAGAAGCTGGGGCACGTTAGCGGATGATTTGGTCTCCTTAACAGTAGGGATGGTTTACCAGGGCGTTGTCGTCTTTTCTCTGAGCCCATGGCGCATCGTTGCCTTTCGATGTGTCTTGGTATAGGAAAGGGCACCCAACACATGGGATCTTGGCAATCACGTTGTAGCCCTCCGCAACTGTCGTAATTTCCGGTGCGGCTTCAGCAGCTCCGCATCGCGCAAACGCGAGAATCGCAGCGAGAGGTGCTATCCGGAATATCATGATGAGAGGTAGGATGGTGAATTGTAGTAGGGTCATCCGTGTTGACACGTTTGAGGTTATGTGGCTGGGTCTGTATGTAAGCTGGGGCGGGTGGGGCGGCTTCCATGGGTCATGTGAAGTCGCGAGCTAGCGTGTTTGGAATACGAGATGCAGCACTCACATCGCTCCCAGTCTTCACAGAAGTAAGACACTGTCTGCCAATCGAATTTGCAGCGGCATCGGGATATGAGGTTCTGTGTCAGGCATGATTTTAGAGAACCAATATACAGCACAACTCGTTTCTTGTGCATCAGAGGTACCTAGGTATTTATTCACATCATGTATAGCCCAAAATCAACCATGTATACGCTCAGCCCAATAACGATCCAATCGCGCTACGCCGCGCATCTATTCCTTCGACGCCCAGCTTTATCGGGTTTGAATGTTTTGTCGAATCTTATCCAGTCTCCTGGCAATCAACGCCATTCTCTCTCATCAACAACCCCATGATTTCGTTATCATCGTGACCGTCGTATATACCATACTGCGCTCCTTCAAGAACTTTACTGGGAGCCTCCAAATAATCTTCTGCCACCTCATCTGCTGTATCGATGAACTCAGCTTCAATCTTCTTCGACAAAGCGTCTCGGATGGTCTTACACGCAGAAAGAGCCTCCTTTGCTTCTTTGTCTTCCAGATGTTCTTCGATATCGGCGAGCTTCTTGAGAATTTGAGCGCGGTTTGTGGTCGGACTTTGTAGCCCAAGTCTAGGATCCAGCGTCAAGTGACTGGCAACCGCTAGAGCGCCAATCTCGATGATCTGTCTGCTTCGTGCAAGTTCATCAGGTCGTGTCATATGCCGAATGACCGGGTTATCCGAGCAAACTGCAACATCTGTCATGCCGGCACTGTTGTGACAAGTGCCATGTTTCAGATCCCGGCGATCTCTCATCTCGTTCAGCGGCGTACCGATAGGAGTAGAGAACATGTCGGCGACGAATGTATCGTTGTACGTATAGTACGGTATGCTTGTTGGATTGAGTGGCCTTCCTCTCGGCGCCGGACCTTGACTCACACTCCTTCCATGTTGGAAGTGAGCGGCATGCCTTCTCTTGTGTTCTGGTGTAGCTGATCTTGCACGCGGTGCTTGGAGCCGAACGAAAGTGGGGTTCGTGATGCTGTTGGTTGCGGCAATGCGATCTGTATCGCCAGTACTCAAAGATCGACGACGACCGTAGCCTTGCGACGGCGGTTCTGGGTGGAGGTAGGCATGGTTTGTTTGAGATCGCATAGGCCGAGGACGATCGTTGAGGTCTGGATCATCAGTTGTTGTTGGGAAGGCTCGTTGCAGATCTAGCGGGTAGGGATGGGGTGTACTTGGTCCGGGAGTCGGGTATGCCGCGGCGGTTTGGCCGAAGTCGTAATTTGAGAAGTCGGGAGTGGAAGTTGTAGAGGTGTTTGGTGAGTCAACAGCTGTAAAAGCGCCGTCTCCATATGTAAGACCGAAGTCATCGAGTATATCGCTGTTGTTCGTCGAGAAGATAGGCTGCCCTGAGCCATCTGATCCGAATAGTTCGTTGAAGTCGGCTTGAGAGAGCTGTTGCTCCTCGTTCATGGATGGAAGGAACAGATCGGCCGCTGCGTGACTGAGTGGCGTGTTTGGCTGAGACATCCTGTAGGTTCCCAGTAGGATTGCAGTAATGAGTAAAGCGCGTACTGTTACCGAGATCTGTGGCTCTGTCGATACGGGAAGGATGTTACACAGGAAATGGGAGGCTGCGTAAACGATGTCTAGATATAATTACTGTTTGGTCCTTCTGTTGGCCTGAGCTGAAACAGGTAGACGCGGTGAGTTTGGTGAGCATAGATGGTGGCGCTGGAGTAGGCCAATGGCCGGATGCCTACGTTGAGTACGTGGTCGATAGGCAAACATCGCTCCTGTGCATACAGTTAGTGCTCAGGCTCGTTTCGCGTAACCCTCGGCTATCTTGTCATAAGAGGACTATTTGCTGTGATGGGAAGTATAGAATTAGTTGCGACATGCTCGAGACATTTGTCAGAAGTTGATTTCGCCAGTCAGCTGCACTGCGCATCCATTGTCTCGCAACAGTGTTGCAGATCCGAAGCGCGTCTGAAGGCTCTGTATGAGAGACAATTCACTGCTTGTCTTTTTTGACTTGAGACACTTTGTTGTCAGAGATTCAGGTCTTCTGTATTCGTTAAGACATCTAGGTCATCAGCTCATGAACGTGTTCCCGCTACTGGCCCGCCCCGGAGACCCTAACGTAGGGCAAAATGGATGGCAGTCCTTCCCGAAGGCGATATCATACATCCGTGTTATACAAGAGAATGCGGCTCTGCAGACCCAAAGACGTGTTCACTCCTTCTTGCTCTCACCGTCCTTTCCCTTCTTCTTGTCCCAATTCCAAACCTCCCAAATCTGTTCAAATATCATATCACCATAACTCTTTCCCTCTTCGATCGCCTTCTTTTCTTCCTCCAATCGGCGCTCCTTCCAACCCTCCTCCTCATCACCCATCCACAGCTTCCCAAGTATACCCTTTTCTTGCCCTTCCTTCCGCTCCAGTGTCCTCCGACTCTTTTCCCTTTCCTCTTGCAATATCTTCTGCATCTCCTTTGCGCGTTCGGTCGGTAGGTCCATGGTTCGCATTGGACTGAGGTTTTGTACGAGGCCGCGGCCTGTTCGGAGTGTGATGAGATGATCGGCAGAGAGGTAGAAGCCGACGCCTAGGGAAAATGTATATAGGTCTAGTTTTCGTGGTGGGAGTATGGCTATTATTGGACATATTACGAGGCCGCCGATGGCTAGGTTACGTGTTATGCGCTGGTATCGGGCTTGTTGTTCGAGAGCGAGGCGCTCTTCTGGTGGGATGGGCATATTTTGGACGGGGTTCGGTGTCGCCATCTTGGAGTATGTGTGCGCCCAGTTGATTCTGAAAAGGCAGCGAGTGTCGGAGTAGATTTATTGCGTGTGTAGGAGTTCGAGCAGACAGAGTGAATGGGTGATGTCAGAGTAATTCGGTGGTCGCAATCTCAAAAAGTTCAATGATGCAAAGACGGCGGCTAGCTCCCGCCTCGGCTGCAGCTTCCCCTTCGGAGCGGAGGTGCTGCGGAGATCTGAAGCCACGCGAACAGTACTCAGTGCACAAGGTGACTTGGTTTAAACTGCTCGTGATTCAAATGCGCCTATTGATATGCTGTTTTCGACTCCCCATGCCCGTTACGCCGTTGTCCCTACCCTGCCCCGATCATGCATAATGGACCTCATAAACACGCGCAAATCTCTCGCTGATTATCGTTGGAACTTCCTCCTCTTCACGTCGACTCTGTCTTCAAAGCGTGGACTCTTCCTCCCTGGCCTGTCCTCTGTCCTGTTTGCTAGATGCTCAAAGGTTCCACTACTCCTCAGCCGTTTCGTTGGGGTTCTCTCGTACTCGCTCCCACTTTGTCCACCTCTTTGCCCTTCGTCATCTGTCCCAGCTGGCCCGTCTGATCTGGGACCATCCTCGTATGCATCGAATTTCCGCTTCTGCGCAGTGCTCGGCGTCTGCATCAGGCGCCTCAAACGGCTCTCTTGTAACCGCCTATTCACTTCCTCGGTGACATCGACATGTTGGACAACGTAGTCGTCTTCGATTCTGGCTCGCTTTGCGCGTGGTGTGGGTGATTGATCCACGAGAGGAGATATGGCATGCGGGTTGGAGTTCGGGGGTTGCGCAGTTGGTGTATTAGAGGCATGATTCGCGCCCTCGATACTAAGACGCTTGTTTGAAGTCTTGACCTGTCGCTTGTTAGCTTTTCGGCATCGCGTGCGCAAACGGCACAGCATACCTTCTTCTTTTCCGCCAGACCTTCGTCCTCAAGCTGGTCCCTGAATCTCTTCAGGTCGTCTTGTAACCTCCCCGACTTGTTTCGCAGTGAGATCAAGTCCGTTGCCAACCAGTCGGGGTCATTGTGATCCGTCGCATCGAGCGTCTCATTGAGAAACAGGAGTTGCGCGCGTAGGTTCTCGATGTGTTTGTCAAAGTCCTGGAGAATGGATGAGAAAGTTGATGGGACAGGTAATTGTGTGAATTACCTCGAGCGAAAACTTCGCCATGTTGTATGGCAGAATTGTGGACGGACAAGGGAAACCGCATGCAGGAGGCTTCAACTTCCTTGCGGAGTCCCGAGCGCTTGGGTTAACATCCTCATTCCGATCGGAACGTTCCGACCTTGGCAGCATCTTGAGATCTTGCCTCTTAACCACGAAGGGCCACTGTGATAGGTCAGACATCACATGCTGCATAGCTTGGTCAAAATGAGATCGAAATTGTGCGGTGGGAAGCAATGGTATACCGTCACGGTTAAAATTGACATGTAATAATTTCACTACATTGCCCCATGTGCTCATAGCATCTTGAAAGGTAGGACCTTGGGAGCTCGTAGCCCTCGTATGCGACATTCCATGCTCTGAAGTGAGCTTTATGCTAGAGTACACACGACTCAGCCTGAGCTTGCCTTCCCCTTTGCGCCATATGCATCGCGTCGCTGATGCTGTCCATTGCGGACCAGTCTGCATGACCACGCGAGGACCTCGGGAAGTTGCAGATGAATGAAAGCGATTATTGCCACGAGGAACCGGTAGCCAATGCTCTCGCACAGCCTGAGTTGACGTTGGCGTCAAATAGAGAGGACCACGATAGCTTTGTGACTCGATGCATCGTCTTAACAAGCGGGTAATGTCTGATGGTTGAGATGCGATCGTCTTCAACCTTCATCCTCGCCGAAAGTGAGTTTGACAGCTTTGGCCTTCTTCTTCGGTTTCTTCACTGGCTTCGCTTCTGGCTTCTTCACATCTGCCTCTTCTCCTTTTTTGCTCTCGTCTTGGTCATCCCCGATGATCTTTGCCGCCTTGCGCTTCTTTGAGACCGCGCCAACCTCAGCAATCTTATCTTTGGATTGCGACGTCGCATCACCATCTTTCTTCTTTCCAGCCTCGTCTGCAGCCGGCTCCCCTCCGTCTTTGTCGTCTTTGCCTGAGACAAGCGCATCATACTCCTCTTTACTCAGCGACTGATTCGTCTCTTCCATGACATACGTAGGCGCATCATCTTCGTCGTCGTCTTTCTTCATCCTCTTATTCCGCGCGATTGGATGTTCATGACGGGCTGTGTCTCCACTGGTGAGTTGCCCGCGCAGCCGCTGTAAGAAGGCTGGCTGTGAGCTGTCTGTGGCGTGTTAGCGAACGATACGAATGCGTTAGATACAAACTTACCGAAATGGAGGTCTTTTGCTTTGAAGCTCATGGTGGTTGTAGTGCAAGGGATGTGCTGACACGGCATGCACGTAAGGGTCTAGATTAGTCGTTTGGCTGAATGTCGTGTCGATCGCTTAGCGGCGGGTTTCCGTGCGGCTCCTTCGCCGCCTTAGCTGCGGATAGTTTACGATGCACTTGCAGTCTACTCTTGGTTCCAGAGAGCATTCACTCCATCGAGATGTCTAGTCGGGTGCCTAGATATGGCGGGTGAAAGCCCATCCCGAAACGTATTGGTCCGCTGCACCTGCTATCGGCATGCGTGCTAAAGGGCTTGGCACGTTCCGCCGACAGGGAACATGTTAACTAGCAGATCTCGAAACGCATACGCAATCATCGGCCGCTAATAATTTACATTCAACGACCCTGTTCTCTCCTTTCACTCCCTCAGGGTTACAAGCTTGAGCCCGTCACGCCAATCGCCAACCGATCTCGATAGTCGTACACCCACCTGGAGTCACGACCCACACGCTCGTTATCGACCAAGCTCCTTGGGTTGAACACGTCGCCCTTTCCTCATCCACAACCGTCGCATTCATTCGACGTCCTCTAGACCCCTCGAATTCGCTCCGCACCGCTTGCGACTGGGCCAAAGAGCAATAGGGCTGCCATTGGCAGAAAATCGCATATCAGACACGCCACCACTTGGGCACCACCATGGGCTTCCTGCAAGATATGACGAGGAGGCTACCGACCTCGAAGGACAGTCTAGACAAGCTGGACGACCTACCGCGCCGCGCCGAAAAGAACTCCCCACGGTTGTCCTTCTTTCGACGCAGGATACGGCTGAAGGGGAGTTCATCCGTGTCGATACCTCTGGGCCTGGTGCTGCTGTTTCCATGTCTCGTTATAATAATAATCATAATTCTGTTCGTAAAGTCTCCCGACTCGCAGGGCATTATGAACATGCCCGCCGGCGGCCCTCCCTCGATAAGGTACGTGAAATCCCATCACCACAGCATCCAAACAACATCTAACAATGCGCAGACGGATAAGCGAGAAGTACGACAAGCCATTCGCGGTAGGCTGCCTCGAGCCGCAGGTCAACGGACCCCGAGCAAACGCTGCATTCGTAGTTCTAGCGAGAAACAAGGAGTTGGATGGTGTCATACAGTCGGTCAAGTCGATTGAGAGACATTTCAATCGGTGGTTCCACTACCCATACGTCTTCCTCAACGACGGAGACTTCAACGAGACGTTCAGGGAGACGGTCTTGGCTCATGTCAGTGCTCCAGTGGAGTGGGGTAAGATCCCTCCCGAGCAATGGGGCTTCCCCGACTGGGTAGATCCCGATGTTGCGAAGGAAGGCATCGCCAAGCAGGGTGACAGGGCCATCATGTACGGTGGTATGGAGAGCTACCATCACATGTGCAGGTTCTACTCGGGGTATGTAACCTAGCATGCTTTCTTCTGATTGCCACTAACACGGACAGTAAATTCTACCAACACGAACTCCTTGCCAAATACGACTGGTACTGGCGCCTCGAGCCTGAGATCAAGTACTTCTGCGACATCACATACGATCCCTTTATCCACATGATTCGGAACAAGAAGACATATGGCTTCACCATCGCGGTGAAGGAGCTACGAGAAACCGTCCCCAATATCTGGCGATATGCCTCGGCCTACAAGCGTAACAACAACTTAACCTCCAAGGGCATGTGGGAGATGTTCGTGGAGAAGCCGAAAGAGGAGGACGAGAAGGCGCCCAAGACAGAGCCCAAGTCGAAGAAGAACTTCTTTCCTCAGGACATAATGGATGCCGAGTTCGGCACAGAGGCCATGCCTGAAATCCACCCGGAAAACATGGAGGGCGAATCATACAACATGTGCCATTTCTGGAGCAACTTCGAAATCGCCAACCTGAATTGGTTCCGCAGCAAGGAGTACAATGACTTCTTCGAGCTGATGGATCGCAGTGGTGGCTTCTGGATGGAGAGATGGGGAGATGCGCCTATCCACTCGCTAGCTGTTGGTGCACTACTTGGCCCTGAGGATATCCACTACTTCCGCGACTTTGGATACCGGCATACGACCATCCAACATTGTCCCGCTAACGCACCTGCGCGACAACTCGCCCGAGAGCCATATCTTGAGAAGACGACACTCGACGACAAGGAGCGACTGGAAGAAGACAAGTACTGGGCGTCATATGACCCAGTCAAGGAAAACGGTGTCGGCTGTCGCTGCAAATGCGACCAGGATATTGTCGACGTAGAGGGCAAAGAAGGGTCCTGCCTCACGGAATGGGTAGAAGTGGCTGGTGGCTGGGCATCACCTGGGCCCGACGGACCATGATCTCTCCTTCTCGCGTGATATTCTATCAGCTTCAGGCTAGCATTTTGCGGGAACATTAGCATCTACTCCTCTTTCCAGTAAGGCGTCAGGTGTTGGCATTGCATATGGGCTGGGCCGCCCTTCAATAGAGCATCAGGACTACGCGGGCGTCGTTGCAGGCTTACTTACTTTCTGCGCATTGGCGACACAGTGTATGAGAACGAATACGAACAAGTTGAAAACAGCTCTGCTCTTGAATGATGCCCTCGTTGTTTGGTCATGGGATTGCTTGCTGTAGGTGACGGCCCCACCCCATTCAACGGGAAGGTCGA